CACAAAATCATAATCGTAATTTTGAATAACCAAATTTATATACTAGTATGTCACACACGCAGAAGTTTTCTTGTTGCACTGTTCATGGGAGTCTCATCAACAATCTCAAAGTAACGTTTTCTGAGAGTTTTCAGCCTTTGTTTTCACCGTTGTCAGGCGGTGAAAATGCCCGGAATATTCCACAACATTCCAGTGTCTGTGACTTGTGTATGTTGTTCATTGTTGCTACTATGGTCGCGCCCTCTGGCGACGAATGATGTAAAGAATGCCGTTGAGGGCGTCGATCACATTGCTCTGATTATCAGTGGTTGGTCAATAATACTCAATTAGGAGATTTTCTAACTGGTAAAATAGAGCTGACTGCAAAACCAAAAACAGCTTATATTTGAACAACATGTACGTAATTTCATTGTCGTAAAACTACGCCCTCTTTGCGATATTTGATGATTACCACAAGACAACTGTGTTTCCAGAAGATTGCTAATGCACCTATCACGAGCCTACACTCAACTCTAAACCTGAGTGCGGATTGGTAATGCTACTCGTGAATATTTCCAAGTACTGGTCTTATCGGTATTTTGTCGCTATAGGGCGCGATATAATGAAAACGTGTGACGTGGTAGCGCTTTAGTAATTTTGGGGTGAACGAATAATAACATTGAGATGTTAAAAGCTGCGTTTTCCCAAATTCCATATGATCCGACGTACCAGTGATTCAGAATTACTGTTCTGATGGAACATGTATTACAGGCAGAGGACTAATGTATGATAATCGTTCGGTCCACACCCATGTTGATTGTTAAGATAACTTTTAATTGTGAATACCTATGATATCACTACGTTATAATTTGAGCAAATATAGTACCATTGAAGTAAACGAATATTTTACATGTTTTTGAGGAAATTTTATACATATACACTGGCGGCCATTTTGTCAGCTGGAATACTTGCTCTCACCCATAAACGTTATTTTGACGTCACATAAGCGCCCTGTCACTAGAGGGCGCACTGTATAGAAATAGTGAAGTGCCGGGCCATTTTCGCCGAATATCTCAAGAAATATGAGTACAGATCTGCCTTAAGACAGATTAACGTGAAAACTTCCTAAACGATAAACCGCATGCCACTTTCGCTCATACTATGTACACTGGAAGAAACACTATTCACACAGAATCAAAAATTGTGTCCGGTAATTAATTTTTTACTCATGTATAGGATACATATTTTAATGTATTGGATGATGTTTACGTGAATGTTTTTTTAATCACATCAAGCACTTGCTTGTCCATTTCACTTTATATTGTAAAAACAGACTGACGCACTCCGTAACCATACAGCAAATATTCCATTCATTCGCGGCAAGAAATGAGACTATTGTCTTTCATGCCACTCTTTATTTTGTTTAACAGCTAAAGACAAATTCAATCTACAAAAATTAATCACCACTTCCCAATATAGAACCAAAGCCAACAATTGTCAAACCAAATCAGTTTTTGTTCGTTCAGAGAGAGAAGAAACTTCATTATCAACATCTGCAATAAAAAACAAAGGATTTACTTAATGGCGATGTTGATTGAATTATTATTGAGAACAAATAAGCGTGTTATTTGCAAACGGGGACACCTATTCATTTTGTATAATGCAGCACATCTCCAGTTGAGGCGAAGTGTACATACAAGGCAGAATTAGATTTGTTGAAAAATAATTGTCAACAAATAAGCTACGTTCTGATTGGTCTGACTGTTAGGTGTTGGGGTTGTATATAGTATAAATAAGTTATGTTAGACCTATCTTTTAGGAAGCCAACACTTAAGCCTAAGCCAACTTAACTGATAACTTATTCTTTTTAGAATGTGTGTTTAAAATATAGTATCGCTTTCGCAAACAAAGCACCCCGAGGAAATTGGGAAACTCACTTACTTTTTGCCAACTACCTTCCAACTGTCACCGAATTCGTTGGCATCATGGGTAACAGTCCCATCTGGTTTCTGGAAGTCATTCAAACTGTTGCCATCGTGGTTGCCAAGTAGACCACACACTTTTCCTTTGTAGTGTTCACCGGTGAAGTCTATGTGGAAGGTGTGTTTTCTTCCGACCCATTCCATCTTGAATTCCGAGTCATGTAAGGTGAAGCTAATTACCACTCGGTGGTCGTCTTTATTGATGCTAATATGCTGTATGTTGTAACTGGTCTGCAATACAAGTATATTACTGAATGTGAGTTGTTACTTATTATACAGAAATTCCTATACAAAAAAGACAACACGACATGAAACCATTTGTACCGTGGTCGAGAGGTGAATTTTAATTCTGAACGTTGACAATAATGATTTCGAATATTAACAGTAGAGAAACGGACACATATGCATCAACAGAACGATGCATCACGAATTCAACTCCATGACTCGTTTATTCGGGTAGAGTAACACCAAAAACAAAGAACAGAATAAAGATGAATGACGTGGATCGTGGACATTTAAGTGAAAAAAGGAAAACACAAATATAACACAATTTATCAAATATTTATTTTTAAATGTCACATAATTATTGATGTTGGAACATGTCATTAACTTTTTTGTGTTTTAAAAAATATTTGTTTGAAGAAAAAACTGCCTAAAAAGATAAAATACAAAAATGAACACGTTTGGAACAATTTCCATTCGAAACCATTATTTCATGACAAAATATAAATAGTAATCATCAAAATGTCCCAATAATTCTTGAAAACTATTTTTACTCATTTTATAAATATATACGATTGTTTCAAAATTTGTACCTGGACCAAACGAAATTGTCAGTTATGGTGAGAGGAGTACCTTTATCAGCCATTGGTAAACGGTTCAAAAATAGTCATTCTTGGATATTATTTGGCTTGTGTTTTGTGTGAGATGTAGTTTAATGATCATATATATGTATCCGCATTAGATAACCATAGTGTAAACGTTAAGGAAATCCTATCATTTATTTCATTTATCGAATGTTTGTAATATAGTCGTGTTTCAGGAAGAGGAACGCGTGCATAAACAAAAACACCAACAATAAATAATAAACAATAAAAAGTGTAAGAAATAAAAGATATCAGCTAATATTCAAAAAATAATTGTTTTACATTTATGTTGGGAGATGATCACGTGACAGATATACATTATTAACCTATCAGCAATCAATCTTGTCAGGGCGATACATTAGGAGCTTTCAAAAAGTCTAAATTACTACTTGTTAGGATGATCCGAAGTCTGTATATCACATATATATTTCCGCTGACTAATTTCACCAACAATTTTTATGTTTTTGCCAGTCATTCATTATTGTTTTGTGTTGACAAAACTAGATTTTTGTATGTTAGTATTTCTAAATTATTTCAAGATTGTGTGTGTGGTACGTATTAAAGGGTGACTTGAGGGTAAAAAATATCAAGATTTTGTGGTTAAAAACGATAACACTGGTACACAACCGGAGTCAGATGGTATCAATGTCACTTAGATCCGATAGAAACCACTTTCAATGCGGCCCAGAACGATTAGTGCCTGGTCCATATATAGAGCAGAATGTGTTTTGATGAAACTTATAGCATGTTTCTATCATGTTTACCATGAGGTGCAGTTCCTGTACTGATTTTACTATTTTTTAGTGTACTTTGTTGGTGAGTTGTTGTTGTTGTTGTTTTTTGTTCTCTGGTTGTTGTTGTAAAAAAAAAATCAGTATTATAGATTTTCAAACTGTCATCAAACAAACGGCTCTCTGATTGGTCTGAATGTTAGGTGTCAAGATTTGTTAGCCAATGAGGTACAATCGTTCTCGTGTTTTTGGAGCTTAATTACTTACTGTCACCACGTTGTCCCGGTCAACAAGAACATTCTCCCCATTCACGTTCACATTGATACGAAGTGCTCTCGTCCTGGTAACATCACTTAGATCATCTCGGGGCACAAAATCAGCTGTGATTTCAAATTCTGGCATTGCCTTGGAGCAGTCTTTGACTAGAGTATACCAGCAGACACCCTGGAAACTGTACGGGTGGCCGTCGAATGTTCTCATATGCGGATCGCCAGCAACATCTATAGAGTTAAAGAAAATAATATCAAACAAGCTAAATCCGAAGCCTTAAAGCGCGGTGGTCGTCGCGCAGTGCGTGTCCGAATTACATGTAAATAATAAACAATGTCTATGGGTCTCATATCGAACAGGACGCGGCGCGACGACCGCCGCCCTTTAAAATCATCAACAATTCATTAAATAAATAAGTTATAAGTTTGTTAATTTGCTCCACATTAGTTGCGTTCACGCACAGCTCCTTAGCACGGGCTAAGAGGTCAAATTCCTTAGCCCGTGCTAAGAAAACGTGCGTGAACGCTTAGCACGGGCTAAGGAATGCTAAGTACGGGTTAAATCTGATCCGAATTTAAGACGCGGTCTAGACCTTAGCACGGGCTAACGAAGTATGCGCGAACGCTTAGCCCAGGGCTAAGCGCCCTCTGCGGCGACCTTTGGGTGTGAAAATTGTCCCATGTTCGTATAATGACACTATTTCACCAGTCATGTCTCCGCGCTCGCTTCCACACTAATCGGGTCACTGTAGTAGAGCGTACAGCAGCTCCAATCGTAGACAAAATATATTTGGTTCGCTGTCTACGACATGCATTAATAAAACTCTGTATTCTGTAACGCCCGTTGTATACTGTTTATGTGCATCCAAATAAGTTGGGTCCGTCTTCTCGCGTTCCTGTGCACGTCGCTTCAAAATTAGAACGAAACATGTCAGCAGCAGAAATAGAACCTCGCGCGTGTCATCCATTTTTCGTTCGTAAATAGCGGCTTACCAAAGGTCACCGACTAATGGCACCCCTTAGCCCATGCTAACGACTGGCCCTCCCTGTATGTGGACGCAATTGGGTCTAGCCGAAATGCAAATATGCTAGATAAGCCTAAATCAGCTTAAATCTTAGCCCGTACTTCGTGTAATGTGAACACAACTATTATTTGTTATTGGCATACGGTGGTGGTTTAATCAGGAAGAGTAAATAAGCATATTGAACACGGAATATTATTGGACAGATAATGGTATCTTACTTGGTGTTGTGATCGGCTCATCAGTATTAGATGTGAATGGCCCAGCAGTCTTGGTTGTGATTGGCTCAGTAGGCTTGGGTGTGATTGGCCCAGCAGTATTGGATGTGATTGGCTCTTCTGTAGAGGCTGGGATGTCACGAGGACATCTTGGACACTTGGGATGTCTTCCATTCCGATGGATCTGATCTCTACTCAACGCCTTATCAAATATTTGCATACACGCAATATCACCTCTATATTTGTTTTGCTGTGAATCTATCGGACCCACGCGTGTCCCGAATTGCGTTGCCAATTCAATATCACCAATATCTTTACTATCTACCAAAGTGTCATTTATGTAAAGCTTTGCCTTTCTCGTACTATTGTCGTAGGTAGCAGCTATGTAATTCCAATGATTCTGGTCAAGTTCATATACAAGTTCAGGAGTTGGGGTCATGTCCCTTCGTGTGAATTCAGCGATCTCGTTGGACTTCTCCCCTCTCATTTCATCCCGTATTCTGACACCTGTATGGCCTTTTTCATCATCGAAAGTAAGTAATGGCCCAGCCTGTCCACCCGGTCTTACGTGCATGGCTATTGTTATTTTATCTTTGGCATCGTAAGCACCGTTATTAGGTATTCTAATGTAGGAATCCTTGTTGCCGTCAAAGTAGTAATAACTGCAGAACTCGTCATCGTCTTCTGGTCTTTTCGGGCGTGGTTTGGGTGGGATTGGTCCACCTTGCCCGTTATTACCTCGACCTGTCACATCACGCATCTTGTCATTTGCATTCAAAGGTAACATCAACACTGGGCTTGGATCTGGTTATACAAACACATTTAAAAAATAAACATACAAGTATTTCCATACTTCTTCAACATTTGTAATAAAATCATGTAGAAAATCATGTTCATTTAGTCAATAGACTTTGCAAATGGCCGACGAGATATCTCCGAGAGAGTGTTTATGCTCTGCCGTCGTCACCGTCTACTGTTACCATGGTTACATAGATGAGGAGAGCAATGGCTCTTTCGCTCTCAATGTTATCTCAGCGGCCATTTTGAAATTAAATTTATTCGTTCTATAAATCTATCGCCAACGCGTCAACAGATCCTCTGACCGTTGTATCAATTTAGGTTAATTAATTGGCTGAATAAAATAATAAAACCTCAATATTTACGCAAGAATAACAAAATATTAATAACCATGTGAGTAAACATGTGAGTAAATATGTGAGTAAACATGTGAGTAAACATGTGAGTAAATATGTGAGTAAACATGTGAGTAAACATGTGAGTAAATATGTGAGTAAACATGTGAGTAAATATGTGAGTAAATATAATAGAAGAAAGTAGCGCTAATATAAAATTTTATTATTCGACAAATCGCAAAATTACATTTGGCAGAATGCATATTTCATTAAAATAACGTCACTTAATTGTTCAAAGCCCGCATTTTATCTTTTTTTCACACAAGTATTCGAATGAGATCATCCCGGGTCAATGATCTGTGAATTTTAACATATTTGGGTAGTGTTAAAGAGAGCAGCCGTAGTGTGTTGTTGTTGTTGTTGTTGTTGTTGTTGTCTGGGACGTTAACTATTGCTACGTTCACACGGCAGCATTCTATCGGAGGCAAACTACTGTTTCTCCCACCGATTAACAGGAGATTTTCTTTAATGCGTTTACACGGTCCGGTCGGCGGTCGGGGCCGGACGAGGTCTGCCAGAGTTCAATTCAGCTCGATCCGAGCCGATAGGAACAGTGCCCTCAAATACTTAGTATTTGGCCTTACGCCGCATGCGCAGAAGACGATTCCCCTCGCTTTAAAACTAGTACCAATGATCGATAATTCTGTCCTTTCTATGCTAGTCATATCGGGCATTTAGCAACAGACATTGGATGCAAATGGATGCCGAGATCTCGCTAAGTACGTGAGAGCCGCGACACTTGTTTTTTTCAGTGTTCCATTTGTTCTACTTATCACGTCCACTGTTCTAATAGCATGACTACATGAATCTATTGGCAAAAACAATCAAGGGCCGTGGCATCTCGCTTTCAATAAATCTCGGCGGCCATTAAGTTTGGGTCTAAGGTTTTTTGAACCACGCTAGCGAAGAAGTTATGTTTAGTGATGAAGTTACTAAAATAAAGTATTCTCCGAGGACTATAGCATTTATTCAGATTATTTAACATATATTGTACTCCAGGTCACCTAGGATATTGAAGAGTGTTATTGTATTTTATGCTTTT